GCACTATTACAGAAGATTTCCTTGTCACTGCACCCCAAAGTAGCTATTGTTCTATGAAATAATCATAATTGTCTAAAGAATTACCACAAGCGGAGTGCTTCAGTTTCTGTCTTTCAAGCCTGCTTTCACAGATAGCACTTTTGGACAGTTACAGGTCAAGTGAAGTGAGTTAATATTGCTTCCCTAATGTTTATTTCAAAGCGTTTATATATTTGATTGGAAGACCCCTAAAATAAAACTGAAATAATTGTTCTTGATTGATATATGCTCAGCGTTGCTTTTTAAGTATGGATAATGTTTTCGTTTACCCCATATTTGTCCCTACCGTTCAACCGAGCCATTGCTTTGATAGCAATGACAATGTTCTTGGACAGGTATCATGTAGGTCAGGTCAGGTCATATCAGGTTGCACAGGACGGTAAAGGCTTTCGCTAACCGAGCGTCCAGATTCTTGCTCCAGCCGGAACCACGTTCTTCCGAAGCTTCGACTTCTTGTCGACCGTTTGACCACAGCCGTTTTCCTCTTTTAGAACAGCCTCCTTTATGGGGTCCGTATCTGAAATGGGAGGTTATTCGAGAATAGGCAGCATGGTACAGCTACGCTCAATAGTAGGCACTACCAAATCTCGGGATAGATGCTGATCCAGAACCCGTCTAATTTCCTTTTGAACTCCTCGACTGTCTTACAGTGTTGTAGTGAAGATGGTAGTTGGTTCCACTAATCTATCACTATACTTGTGAAGAAGTTGTGTCTAAGGTTTAGTCGGCTTCTGAGCTCCATTAGCTTCAGATGATCAGGTCAGGTCAGGTCAGGTTGCACAGGACTGATAGTGGCCACAGGCCAATCAAGCGTCCAGAGTNGTCCGCCTCTAGCCGAGTCAGCGCCTTCATTATTTTGAAGGTCTCAATGTTGTCGCCTCTCAGGCTTCTCCTCTCCATGGAGAAGAGCCCTAGGGATTCTAACCTCTCCCTATATGACTTACCCCTCATCCTCGCGATCATCCTAGTAGCTAACCGTTGCACTCTCAGTGCAATTAATATCATTCCTCAAGCCCAAGCCTGCACGCAGTATTCTAACTGCACTCTGACTACGGCCTTCTATAGAGGTACGAAAACAGCCTTCCTTGACGACAGGGCCGCCTCAAGCTAGAACAATCTCCCTCCTCGCTTTCCGTGCGGCGGCCAGGCATTGATCACTGGGCTTAAAGTCCTCGTGGACCAAAATTCCCCGATCCAGCATTCGGGCCACTCAAGCGGATACCGTCGGTTCCGTGGTCGTAGCCACTCGAACCGGAAGCCCTACGGTGTTAAAAACATGACATTTGGCTCCAAGTCCCACTTCTGTGTCCACCGGATAACCTTAGCCAGATCAGCTTCTAGCTGCTCTACAGGTCCTGAGTTCACTGGTCTTACGTCGTCGGAAAAGATGAAGGCAGGAACCGCTAGTTCCTGGACCAAGCCATTTATAAACAGCAGGAAGAGCATCGGGCGTAGCACTGAGCCCTGAGACACTCCATTGGATACGCTGCCAACGTTGGACAGAGTATCTTCCACCCGAACTCCATAGATGCGGTTGGCGAGGAAAGTTTCTATCCATCTAATTGAAGCTGCTGAGAGACCAAATCCCCAGAGCTTTATTAGTAGGAGCCGGTGATTTACCGAGTCGAAAGCTTTCCTGAAGTCCAGGTAGCACACTTCGATTTCCTGACCTCCATCTAACCTCCTTGTAACTTCGTCCAAGACGTTATGAGTTTCATGATCAATGTTACTTCTTGGGGTCTAAACCAAAGATTAATTTTAGTCAGTGTATGTAGTGACTTGCTTAGACCTGACATTGATTACCCGTTCTGGCAATGAGAAATGTAAAAAAAGAAAGCCTGTGGATAATTCTTCCCCATTGAATTAACTGATGGGCACTTCTCTAATGGAGTCCCGCTTATATGCCGATATCACAGATGAGCGTTCTTAAACGTCGTGGAACGTAACGACGGGTGTATTGTGTATAAACACGCGGAGTTAAAATAGAGGATACGGAAACTTGAGCGGGTCCGGGGCTTAGGTTGCTGGTTTCCATCACTAAACACTAAGGTTCACCTGGTTTACTTTTTATCACACTCGTTCTCGCAAAAAGCACTGAAAAACCCACGTAGAAAGCACAAATTAAGCCACTGCTTGGGGTGAAAACCGTTACCCAGATAGCCATAACTTTGGCGCTTTTTCTTACTCGCTCGCACGAAAACGTCACGTAAATCGTACACTTTAGGCTCGATCACTTAAGTCTATTACATGCAAATTCACTCTGAGTCCGGGTCATTGCGAAGCTTGCATTCCGCGAAAAGCCCCTTTGTATCATGGATCCCTGCCACTGCTCGTCCGTGACTACTTGTTCAGTGAGTTTCCGCTCACTACACCTATACATCAGATTAATGCCTGGCTCCTTACCCCATCCCTGGGGATGCGTCCGGTATTCGCTTTGAGAAAACGGAGTCATGATTACTGTGGTTAGACGTAATATATGATTCCAGGTTTTGCACTTGAATTTGCGTTACGTCCATAGTTCCAACTGGTTCAAATAACCCCCAAGGCGAGCAGCAATCGAAAATAGAATCGGCGGTTATTGTTTGATTTGTGGAAAAATGTACCAACCTTGGTCACTGAACTCACTCAGGTAGGTTACTTTGGGGTTCCCGGTTCGGTTTTACCATATTGCCCAGTCTGTGGCTGAAGGTACTCATGAGCATAAGTGTCATGCAATTGTTTCTGTACATCGCTTGTCATCGTTACCAGCAACCTAAAACTTGTGCACATACAGGAAGAGCTTGTGATTCGGTGTGGAGCACGTTGGATGTTATTCACCACTCGTTTGGTCCTTTATCCCAGACGGTTGCTGTTTGTCTCCCATACACACCCTCGATAGAAATATGATGGTCCGGCGTTCTTTCCTTGTACGGCTTCTGAAGTTGCTCAACTGGAGATAGTTCAACGGGCTGATACACGCCTCGTCGTAGGACTACGTGGTATCAGTTGTGTTGACCGGCTGATCACAACAGAGTAGTTTCCCATAGCACACAGACAACGAAGTCAACCTAATTTACACCACACGCATCATTCGGCGACTTTGGCCCTCGGAATTCTCTTTGAGGAACAAAAAACATGTCAGGGACATTCACAAGATTATTATTATTATATTTCATACTTGTCTGAGTACAGACTGTGTGCCAAGCAAATCATGGTACAAGAATCTTCATAGAAAGAAAATGTTCCGTGAGTTGCGTGTGGGCGGAATAATGCCAGGTTACCCAGGACAAGGCAGGTGAATTTTCTTAAGGAATCTACAACCGGAGCCTTCGGCTAGCCAAAGCCTGACCCGCAAGGCAGCGGAGCGTTGTGCGAAAAACGCAGTCCATTGGGAGCCGGTGTCCAGTTCATCGGATCATATGCACTTGGCGGGGTCAAACATCCATGGTTCCCAATACACCTTGATACTCCATCTGGCCGGTGACCACTGCCACGACCGGGGAGGTGTATGTGATTCGTACGCTTCTCTTGGTTAGTTTGGAATCGGTTTTTAACCAACTCCTCTAGGTGAACTACCAGTGGTCTACAAACCCGGTTGTAGCTCCGGATATTGGTTTTTCGTCTTCTTACTCTGGTAGAAAAATACCACCACGAGAAGGCAGTGAGTGGGGCTTCCTCAGCAGAAGCTGTTTGAGATGCTTGGTCGTATGGGAGCATTTCGTGGGGCGCAAGGGAAGGGTGACCAGCCGCAACCCTAGACACCCATCCCCGACCATACTGAGGCTTTTGGAGGTACTCCGCAAAATGCAGTTAAACGGTCTACTGCTGGTCTGTCGTTTGTCAAGGAGAGTGACAAATCTCTGCGTTACCGAAGGATGTGGTTTTAGAGTCAAGTGACGGCATATTTAAGGCGAAACTCGATAGAGCTATGCGGGAGTACTGGACTGGTGTCAGCATCTAATCAGTTCAGTGGAGCAGACTGTGATGGGACTAATACGGGGGATTTCCCAATACGCTTCGTACTTGAAGACTTAAAGTCATACCAATCATTCTCTTACCTATTCGATATTACTGGATTTCGTCCTCTCCGAAATTTATCCATCTTGT